TAGCATGGAAATCTATACACTATCATATGTAACACAGATAGCAGTGGGAACTGCCGTATGATTCAGGGAACTCAAACCCGGCTCTGTGACAAACGAGAGGGGTGAGAGGGGGTGGAAAGGGGGAGGGAGGTTCAAGAGGGAGGGGACACATGTATACCTATGCTGATGCATGTTGATGTATGACAGAAACCAACACAATATGGCAAAGCAATTATCCTTCAATCAATAAATAAATTTAAAAAAAATTATCACCGTGTAGGAAACAAATGGAGTAAGCCCTAAGTGCAAACAGAAGCTGGAGAAGTTAAGGAATCTGTCTAAAGTCTCCTGACCAATTATATTTGGGGATTTGTCTAAAGTCTCCTGACCAAACTGTGTTTTAGTCTGGTAGAGCCAGACTAAAATATAAATCAGCTGCCTCCTCGTCTGGTGCTCTTTCTAAGGCACTGTGCAGACTCTGACCCTTGTCTGGGGTCTGAAGTGACAGCGGACACACCAGGGACGTGGAGCGACTGCCCTCACACTGCCTGGCCAATGGCTGGCCCATGGCCAATCATCACCTATCCTGAAAATCATTCAGCTGGAATTGTGGCTTTCTATTTTAGAAAAGCATCCTTTTTTTTTTTTTTCTTTTCTTACCTGGTTAGTCATTCTTTCTTGTTTCCCTGTTTGATTCATGAATTTTGTGCCTTGCAAAAGATCCCATTTTCTCTCTCCTTAAGATCCAATCTCAAATCGTGATGCAGTTGCTAGCCTTACTTCTTCCTACCTACAAAGTTTTCTCTATGCTTGCAGGAGGAGTTAGGGCATTGAATGTGTGTAAAGACTGCTGGGTCACATCTACAACCACATTGCTTCTACATGGAAAGCTGCCAGTATGTTAACACCAAAACTTTCAAAAGATTAAGGTATACATAACATTCCATTTCAATGATTTCTTCTTTAATTCAGATTTTGTTTCCGACTGCAATTACTAACCTGCTACCTGCTTTTACTTTCCCGTCCCCTTCTTCTATGGTTGTCATCAGTTAGAAAGATTGACCAAAAAGTTAAGAAATGGGTGGGGAGTGGACAAGGTAATATGGAAGAACAGGTTTGCAGAAAATCACAATACACACCTAGTTATTTATTATTAATAGGAAAACTTCCATGTCATAATGGGTTAACGCTGCTCATGTGCTAAGAAGATAGTGTGTGTGCTTAGTCACGCAATCATGTCTGACTCTTTGTGACCCCATGAACTGCAGCCCACCATGGGGGCTCCTCTGTCCATGGGGATTCTCCAGACCAGAATACTGGAGTGGGTTGCCATGCCCTCCTCCAGGGGATCTTCCCAACCCAGGGACTGAACCCAGGTCTCCCACATTACAGGCGGATTCTTTACCATCTGAGCCACCAGTGAAGAAGACAGCAATCTCCCTGATTTAAATTTGTACAGAGGTAACCTGTAAAAGCTGCTTTAAAGGTCTAAAGCATGGTCTTGTTTTGATTATGTCTTGAGGATGTTAAGCCAGTTCTGCATCCTTCGGCACCACCCAGAACCCTACTGAATGTGACCCATCCTTTGGTTTCAGTGGACTTTCAGAACTTCAAGGGCTCTGGGGTCAGACGGTGTGGGTTTGACACCCATAACCAAGTCACTTAAGTTCTCTGGGCCTTAGTTTCCTCATTCATAAAAAAGGGGAAACAATTCCCATCTCCTAAGGCCATTGAGAACATTAGATGAAATAACACAGGTAAGATTCCTGGTACTAAAACCACTGGAGCTTTTATCAAGATCCATTTAATACAAAGCAGAACTCCTATGAGTTACATCAAGAATGTATCTGAAGGCAGGCATCAAGGGGTTTTCCCAAAAAATTATTATTAGTCAATATCTAAATGAAGAAGAGGCGGAGAAGGTAGGGGGATGGCGGGAGCAAATCCCATCTGTAGGACTTTCTTTCCCTTTCACATGTCACTTTAGATATTACCTTAAACTGGAAATATTTCTTCATTACATCGAAGGCACCTCTGATGCTGGGCTTGTGTCTCATTTTTCGGTCTTCCCACAAGGAGCACAGTTGCTCAACACTGAATATGCACTTGCTATTTTCCTTCTTGGTGAAAGTGTCGCTCAGTTGTGTCCGATTCTTTGAGACCCCATGACTGTAGCCTACCAGGCTCCTCTGTCCATGGGATTCTCCAGGCAAGAATACTGGAGTGGGTTGTCATTGCCTTCTCCAGAGGCTCTTCCCAACACAGGGATCAAACCCGGTTAGCCCTCATTACAGGCAGATTCTTTACCATCTGAGCCACCAGAGAAGTCCCTCCCTTCTTGGGGGGCAACCACTACCAGAAAAGTTAAATCTCAGGGCTCTGACAGCAGATATTCTCTCTGTTTGTGTGGGACTCTGCCTGTGCTTTTCATGAAGCAGATTTGTGTCAGTGGTAGCTAGAAGTGGGTGGGACACCCAAGTTTTCAAAATAAATGGAGGAAAGGATCAGAAAGAATAAAGAAAACAATTGGGATGTTTACAGGGTCAAGATGTCACTCTAAAAACCGCTGGTTGTTTTCAAAGAGAGAAATGTGTGTTTACGGTGGAAAGGCCTGACAATCAACCAACTCAACTAAGTGATTAAACTCAACAACACTAGTGAATGGCCAGGTGCATCTAATAGAAAACACACACCACGACCTATGAAGAAGCCTGGCCAAAAACATTTTGCCTGAACTGAATTACACGTTTAGACTGAACTTCCAGTTTACAAGAAATATAGAATATGGAGGAACGAGATAAGTGCACCACAAGGAAATAATCAGATAACTCTAGAATGTAGCATATTCCACAAATTAGCCTTGTCACTTCAAAACGTCTGTATAGTAGAAACAGAAAAAAAAAGTTGACACACTTTTCTAGTTTATCAAACGCTAAGAAAGCAAACAACTAAATGCAATGATTGAATGAATCCTGACTGGCTCGTGGTTTGAAAAAATACATAGCTAAAAAAGACACTGGGTGGACAATGAAGATTTGAATGTGGACTGGACTTTGATAATCAAATAAAATAGTTACTAACATTCTTAGGGTATTTAAGCTCCTGAGTTATATAAGAGGACGTCCTTATTTTCAGAAGACATGTGCTAAAGCTTAAAGGGACCCACGATTACTTTAAAAAGTCTTAACCTCCTACCCTATATATACATATATATATGTATGTATGAAAAGTGAAAGTGAAGTCGGTCAGTCGCGTCTGACTCTTTGCAACCCCATGGACTGTAGCCTACCGGGCTTCTCCATCCATAGCATTTTCCAGGCAAGAATACTAGAGTTGATTGCCATTTCCTTCTCCAGGAGATCTTCCCGACCCAGGGATTGAACCTGGGTCTCCCGCATTGTAGGCAGATGCTTTACCATCTGAGCCACTGGGGAAGTCGTACGTATGTGTGTGTGTATATATATATACATAGTCTACACAATCACACACAGGCTGATACAGCAAACATGACTATAATGAACAATTATTGAATCTAGGTGGTTGGATATACTGATGTTCACTATACTATTATTTCAACTTTTCTATACATTTGAAAATTTTGTCATAATAAATGTTAGAAAACATGGAGGCAAAAGTCACAAGCAAGGGACTCCCCTGGTGGTCCAGTGGTTAAGAACCCACTTTGCAATGCAGGGAATGTAGGTTCAAACCCTGGTGGAGGAACTAAGATCCTGCAAGTGCTCCCCAACAAGAGAAACCAGCGCAATGAGAAGCCCGCATGCACCACAACCAAGACCCACCACGGGCCAAAAGTAAAAATTAACAAGAAAAACAGGGAGGTGGGAGGGGGGACCGGGATGGGGAATACATGTAAATCCATGGCTAATTCATTTCAATGTATGACAAAAACCACTGCAATGATGTAAATGGAGTGGGTTGCCATTTCCTTCTCCAGGGGATCTTCCCAACCCAGGGATCGAACCCAGGTCTCCTGCATTGCAGGCAGATGCTTTACCATCTGAGACACCAGAGAAGCCCAAAGAAGACATTAGCAGAGGATACAAATTATAAAACCCTTTATTTGGGCCAGTTACTGGGGACTACAAAGAGCTCCAACATCCTCTAAGGACAAGAGTTGTCCTGAGGAAAAGGCGTAGCCCTCCTCGTTGAGTATCACTTTCACTTCCCTTTCACTGTCTACCAGCTATTACTCTTTCAGAAAATAGTAATCATTATTCTCCCAATTCCATGGAACGAAGGGTCTTCAAAACAACAGTAAAAACAGCTTTGGATAAATTTTACAACCTGTGAGGTTGCTTCTGCATAAAGATAACCTAGTCATTCGATATCACTTAAGTTTTTTTCTTAATAGTGAGGCAGACAATATATAAGAGATACAGAGACAGAGACAATGCAGCCGGTTTCCTGTAGTCTGGGTACTTCCTGCTGTTGAAGGCAGGAAGAAGGAGCAGTGGATGAAAGCTGTCAATGACCTCACTTCAAACACCAGCCACTTCTATTCCTTCCTGAGCCCTTTGAGAAGATAAACTTGATAAACTAGAGCTTTTCCAAAGACAGGCAGCAAGAAAGAGAAGCACTACTCCACAAAGTCTGTATTACTCGGGAAAAGCCCAGTGTGAAGTGTGAGTCTGAAAAGTCACAGCACTCTCAACTGTTTAATTCCAGGACTGAAAACGCACCACAGGGAGGCTTAAAAACCGAAAAGCAAAGAGAAGCTTACTGCTTAAAGTATACATATATAAAAGATATAACACCATATATTCTCTATAATATCTGCTGCTGCAGCTGCTGAGTCGCTTCAGTCGTGTCCAACTCTGTGCGACCCCATAGACGGCAGCCCACCAGGCTCCGCCGTCCCTGGGCTTCTCCAGGCAAGAACACTGGAGTAGGTTGCCATTTCCTTCTCCCCTGTAATATCTACCACCCACTAAAATGTGAAAGAAAGTTCTTCTTTTCCATTTTTGAGTCCAAGCTCACGTGAGAGGACAGGAAAGGCTTACCTAGGTACAAGGATGCGTTTTCTTTCTTGACATTGTCATCTAAGTAGGTTGGTCCCAGGGTATAAATAGGTGTGGAGCCCATTCCAATGAGAATCTGTGCGCACACGAATAAAGCCACGTAGACCCAGTGGTCGTTGCCGCCCGAGTCCTTCAGGCAGGTGGGAGGCTCCATCTTGACCGAGGAGTTGCCGTTTTGACATAGGCCGTAGTTGGAGGCGGAGGCGTTCAACTCTTGGATCTGGTAGGGCGGCGAGACGAAGTGAGGTAAGGCGAAGAGGGCAGCCCCCACGGCGATGAGGAGACCCCCCACGGCCAGCCACAGGGGCCGCCGTCCCCGGCCGCCGAAGTAGCTGACGAACACCACCACCACCAGGCTCCCAATGTCAAAGCAGCTGACCAGCAGCCCCGACTCGGAGCTCTTCAGACTGTAGCGCCTTTCAATGGTGGTGATGACGCTGCTCAGGTACCCGGAGACCATCAACGCCTGGATGAAGGTCAGAAAGCACATGCAAACCAAGAAGCAACGGGAATCGGTGAGGACCACGTAGAGGCATCTTCTGCCCTGGAGCATGGCCAGGGCGGAGGATACCGACATGGTTTTGCCAATTTCTACCCCGTGGCGACGTTCCGCCAGTCCTGCCGTCTCTGCCGAAGTAGACGGGGCAGAGGGGCTGGGGGCCGGCGGGTAGGGGTCTGACTTCAACTCCTGATGGCTGGGGGCGGGCTCGGAGCCTTCTTCACTCTCGGGACTCGGGTCTGGCGGGCAGGAGGCGCTGTTCAGAGCGGGTAAACTCTGGGACCTGAAAGACTCGGGTTCGCAGTTCTCTTGGACAGCTCCTACCCTGGCGCGCGCTTCCTGCGCCTCTCCCGCCTGGGGCTCCAGCCCAGCGCCTCTGTCCATGGCTCTCAGAATTCAGGTTCGGTCGCCGATCGCACTCAAGGACTCCGGAGCTTTGCATCCACCGGCACGAGGGGCTGAAGCCGGGCCCAGGCAGTCGTGCCCACCAGGGACCGGGGCTGGCGGTGCAGAGTCGCGCTGTAGGGCATCCTCACCAGCAGGGAGGTGCCCAGTGCATCCTGACCGCAGACGTGGCCCCGAGGCTCCGCAGCCGCGTGCCCCGGAGGGCAGGGGTCCGCGCGGTCCTGAGATGAGCCCAACTTAGGGTCCACCCCGGGCTGGGAGCGCGCAGCAGGATCCTAGCGCGTCCCGGGCTCATCCCCTCCGCCGCTGCCGCTCCGCCTGCCGACCCGAGCGCGTACGCCGGGTGCCCAGCGTGGGGGCGGTTAGCGCTGCTGCCGGGGCCGCATCCCGCCGGGCTGGCTGGGCCAGAGGGGCCCGGTCCTCGCCGCCTCGGCTCGCGACACCCTCGGGTGCAAAGGTGCCAACCTGCAAAGCAAAAGAGAGCGCGGTCAGCGAAGGGCGGCTGAGGCTGGCGTCCCGGCGCCCCCGGCGGACAGCGCTGGGGGACTCGGACGGTCCCAAGTGGGACCGAGGGATGAGCGAGGAACGAAGCCCTGGAGGAGGATTAGGCTGTAGGCAGCAGCCTCTAGAGCCCAAACAATAAGCAGCGGGCGGTCGGCAGAGACCCTCCCTCATTGTCTACGGCGGACCTGCCCCCGCCCCGCCCCTTTTGCCTTAAACTGCGCATCTGCTTTTATATGTTAATAATTATCCACCTGGCAGCTCTGACTCACAAACAGCGTCTTTTATTCGAGTGAACTAATTGCAACCTTTTGGTACTCCTACTCCATTACTCAAAATAGAAGAGGCCCAAAAGAACAAAGGAAAGTTTCTTTCCTTTTTTTTTTTTTTTACAAGCACGATGCACTCCTAGTCCCTTTTTTTTTTTTTTAAGAAAAAAGGGGGAAAGCGAGGTGTGTAGAAACGTGTGTACACACTTGTGTGCAGGCACGTGTGCGCCGACTGGATGCGAATCAGCCTTCTCCATCCATTAGAGACAGACACGCATTCAAAGCCCAAGGCAGCAGCAAAAAGGTCAGCGTGCTTGCCTCTTTATTCCCAACACTAAAAATAACACCCCTGCCCCCCAGCCGCCAGGGAGAACTATTCAATTACAAATACCAGGGGCGTTCGAGGCTGCGGCCCACGCCAAGTCCCAGAGCGCTGTGTCAAGCGAAACCGAAAATCAGTTTGCTTTGCGGAGGGGTGGGGAAGCCACAACCAAACAATGAGACGCGGGAGCGCTGTCACGGCACGCTGGGAGCCCACGGAGCCGGCTCGGCACGCGCGGGCCGGCAGAGAGGTGTGCTATTTACATCCAGCGCACCCAGCGAGCGTGGGCTCGGGGTGCGCGCGCGCCCATACACGCGCGCGCGCGCACACACACACACACACACACACACACACACACATACATACAAACATACACCGGCGTGTCTGTGTAGAAACCCCTCGCGCGATCCGGCAACCAGCTTGAATATAACGCGAGTCGAAAACAGGTGTGTCCCCAGGGTAAGCCTATGCCCCTTATCTCAGGACCCCCACTCTATTCCTCCGGCCCCCGAGGGGCTGGGGGTGGGGGAGAGGTGATGTGCACCAGGTGGGAGAGGAGAGCCGGACTTGGCTGCATTGTTTCAAGCGACGCGTTTTTGTGATGGTGCTAAGAAAAGAAAGGAGGAAGGGTAGAGGGAGAAAGGCAGAGAGCTTGGGATCCAGAGGCGCCCGCTCCGGCGTCTCCCTCGGCTGGGCTGGGCCAGCCCAGCTCCCAGATTCCCGGCCTGCCAGCCACTCAGAGCCAGGGCTTCCCCGCCGCCTTCTTGCCGGGGAGCCTTCCCGGGGAACCCCACCGGCGGCGGCGTACAAAGTCGGGGAATCCCGGAAAACTCGCTTCCCCGCGCCCGGGGGAGCGCGCACCCGCACCGCAGCGCACCCGCACCCCAGCGGAGCCTTGGGAGGGCACGCAGACCCAGGCGGGCGGCTCTCGGAGCCGGCGTGGGGGCCTGGGGACGACATCTGCGCGCGCGCATACACACAAACAGACACACACACAGACACACACACGGCCCCGCAGGAGGATAGGACCGCCGGAGACAGCTCGCCGAGCTGCAGGGTCGCACGAGCCGCCGCTACTCACTCGTGAGTCGGCCGGTCAGTCTGGCTGGCTGGGAATGGAGTGGGGGAAGGTGGGGACCTTGGAGGCGCGAGAGTATTTGGGAGCCTCCTGGGGAGGCAGCCTCGGTCCAGCCGCGAGGAAATCAGTGAATGAGTCTGTGACCCCAGCCTCTGGAAACAAGACACACGCGCACAGACGCGCCCGGAGCCGAGCGGCAGAGGGCGCAGGCGCGCGGGCAGCCGCCCAGCCCAGCCCCGAGGCGGCGAGCCACCACGCTGCCTTTTTCACCTGAAAGGCGGGGGAGCGCGAGGGGCCCAGGGAGCGGGTCTCCAGAAAAGTCAGCTACTCAGGCAGAGAGCCCACTCGGAATAAAGAAGTTGACATTTCTGTTGGTTTATTCCGTGCTGTGGGCACCCACCATGTCTCAGGGACCATAGCAGGTAGATTCTGGGAACCAAAGATGAACGGGACAGGATCCCTGTACCGAGGAAACCTCTGTTTTGTGGAAGCAAATACCCTGTAAGTAGCCTAAAACGACACAGTAAATTCTATAAAGGGTGACACTGAAGAACCATTATTATATATCGATTATAATATCCATTATTAACCCATTAGGCCTTCATTTCCAGACAGCAGGAAAGGCATGTGCAAAGGTCCTGGGGCACGAAGCTGCAAAGAAATCCAGAGTCTCAGGGTGATTGCATTGATGGGGCAGAGAGCTGGCCAGCAAGAGTGGTACTCTAGGAAAGGTCAGCAAGGGCTTTATAGGTACTGCGCTGTCAGCACCGAAGGGCCAGTGACATTCAACCTCAGTTATCAGACACTGATGGGTGAATGGAGGCCATGTGGGGGCGTGGAGGCAATCTCAGCAATCTCTGAGCAAAATGTGATGTGGCAGTGGTGGAGCATGGACAGGAAGGAACTCCTTGAGAACACTGACAAGGCAGAAGTAGCCAGACTCAGAAGCCGATGTTAACCAGAGTTTGAGATTGAAGTCCAAGGAAAACACAAGCAGAGAAACATGCTCTTGGGGTAAGATGTTTCTCCTTTAAGATACCTTGGCTTTGAAATGCCTCTGGGACATCTGAGTGTATACACATCCCATAAACCACCAGACATATAACACACAGGCAGTTGGGATTAGGGAAGTGAATTAGGAGGCAACAGCCAGACACAGCATGAGGTGGGTGAGTAAGAAGATCAGAGGAGGGGTAGACTAAGGACAGGGCCCTGGGGACAGGGTGATCTAAGAGCTTGAGAGGGGAAAAGCTAAGAAAGGAGATTAGAAGCAAGGGTCAGAGAGATCTGTGAAGAGTCAGAAAAGAGGGACCATCACAGAAGCCAGAGGAGAAAAAAACTTTTAAGAAGGGAGTGCTCAGATGCAGGAAAGGCTGCCGAGATGCCAAATAGGGTGATAACGGAAGAGAGCCCATGGGCTGTAGCAAGTGGGAGGACACAGCAGAACTCTGACAGAGGGAGAAGTAACCTAACAAGGGGAGGGGATTGTTCTACATTTACTGGTGACCACACTGACCATCCTGCCATGCCAAAGCCACTTCACTCGCCCCTGGCCTTATCCAGTGAGAGCGCGGGATCCACGTCACAGTGTGATGAGGGAAGTGGAAAGAGACTATATAACATGATAAAGGCACACAACTAGTCTCGGGATGATAAAAAGTCCATGCTCCATAATACTTCATTCCCCAGGGATGGCGAACATGAGCTTTTAATCTGTTTTAACAATCATTTTACTCCAAAATCGATTTTTTTTTAATTTTCAGATAGAGAAATAAGCTTTCACTGTTTCTCATAGTGCTTTGCATGGCAATTTTAAAGGTCCAAAGATATTACATTATTAATTCTCTCAGGAGAGCCCATTTTATACTGGAAAGCCATATGGGATAGTGAAAAGAGTATAGAATCAACTTGAAATTTTTATCCCAGCTCAGTTATCACAGCCATGAACAATTTATTCAATCGTTATTTATTTGTCTTGATTTCCTTAGGCCAGAAAGTAAGAACAATATTACACTGAGAGTGCCTGAGAAGGGCACAAACATACCTTGAAATGTTTGAGATGTACATACTTTGAAAATGTGCTCTGTCAAGTCAATCTTTCTTTTGCTAAGAAAAAAATCCACGCTCTAAAATCCATGCTCTTAACTCCGACTCTGTCCTCTCTCCTTTTCAATCATATAGCAGCTTAACTTTTCAGTACATCTTGCATCTTTTAATTATCTCACATGAGTCCAACAACCACCATATGTACAGCTGATCCTTACAGAACAAAATATGAAGTCAGCTGACACCAAAAGAACAGTTAGTGCATGCTCCAAGTCCACATCGAGACAGCACTGGTCTGGCAACTGCCAAACTGATTGATCAAACAGGACAGACATTGATTCCTCATTCCCTGTCCCTCTCCCGTCGTCTTGAGATCTCCATCAGGCCCACAGTCACTTTTCCACAAACAGGATATATGACTCCAGTTGACACCCTTGCCCATGACCTTACCTATGTGGCACCTCCTGTGCCTTATCACGCCTCTGAGCTTATTCTGGATCCAAACAGAATCAAGCTGCCTCCTTTTATGTCCTTCCAGGCTCTGAGGCCCATTCTCTCATTTTAGCCTCAGCCCCAGACACGAGTAGTTCCGCAGCAAGTTCAGCCCGGGACCAAATCGCAGCAGGTGCCGGCAGAGGGCTCCCCTGCTGAAAGTCGAAGAACCGTGTCCCTGCCACCTGCTGCTGCTGCTGCTGCTGAGCCGCTTCAGTTGTGTCCGACTCTGTGCAACCCCACAGGCGGCAGCCCATCATCCCTGGGATTCTCCAGGCAACAACGCTGGAGTGGGTTGCCATTGCTTTCTCCAATGCATGAAAGTGAAAAGGGAAAGTGAAGTCACTCAGTCATGTCCAACTCTTAGCGACCCCATGGACCACAGCATACCAGGC